CTTAAGTTCTATGGTCGATACAATGACCTTGCCAACAATCTCTCATTAAGTCATATGCTGAGTGAGGTTTTTCATACTAATTGCTTGGCCATTATTTACACACTGAATTGTCGACGGATATTTCCGTTCTTTACCGATCATAACAAGAAGCACATGGCGGGTGTGACCGGTCGGCAGGGAACGCTCACACCTCCATGGCACCTAATCCCAACTCTGTTTTTGGAAGCCCGTTTTTGTCCTGCTCCCGAATTGTATTGTTTAAATGGACTTTGAGCTTGAATACTGTTCGTTATCTCCATACTTCATTATCACAGGTTGCCTCCTTGTCATTACTTTAATTCTATAGTACAAAAAATATCAAATTATTCTTTCGTCTGGGTTATATTCAAATTGCTAGCAAATAGTACAAGATAAAGATACTCAACAAAAACTTCCTAAAGACACATTCTGGAGTTTTGCTCTTCGCATAAATGAGCCATTGTCAATCATGGTAAGAGTGCCAATTCTCTCCAATCTACATCCCCGGGAGATAATTACTGAACGATTAGCATAGAAAAGTTCACTCTTCTGTTCTTGTTACATTTTAGTGTTATTGAATCTTCGAGACGTCTCGATTATTTTGTTATTTGTGGCAGAATAGAGTGAAATTATTATTAAAACAATTCATATGTGTATTACTGATCTTAGTTTTTCAGTGATTATAATTATGTAGACCTTTGTATCCCCCCTTGACCCTTCCTTTTCCCTAAATTTAGCTGAAGCTTGTCTGCTTAATTTAAACACCTTTTAAAGTGAAAGATTTTTTTATTATTATTATTTCTAGAGCTTTAATATGTTATCTAGAAGTTTGTGGAATACTTGTAACTATCATTTTGTTTCCCTTGTTTTTGTGACTTTTTGTGTTTTAAGACAATAGACAGTCTTTTCGTTGCATCAGCAAAAAACTATAGTTTTAACTTCTTGACTACTTACAGAAAGTTAAAAAAACACTATAGTTAATTTCATAATTCATGGCAAATAACTGATGTCTTTCACAGCCTTTTACTTTTCTAATATTTTATATTCTGATACTGTCAAGGTTTATAAGAATATGAATTTACTGGCAATAATTATCTTAACTCTTCTTCTGACCAGTTTTCAGTGAAATGACAATAAAGTTATTTATCTTAAATCAGTACAAATGCGTATAATGATGTTTATAGATTACGTAACAAATTGCTATTCAGACAAATGTAATCCTATTTTATTGATTAAACACGAGGATAATGCACAATACTCGACCTGCTTTTATGACCTTGATGTTTTATCAAAAGCAAAACGTCAAAGAATCCAGATTTGGAATATATTAATGAAACCAAAGCAAGACCGATCAGCTGAAAGGGACCAAGATGTCAATTGATATCAACAGTATCAAACATTTTCATTTCTGGTTTAAGGCTCCTATTTTGATATCCTAACAAGTCAGCTGTCGAGCCAAAAATTTGATACCGGACAAAAACAGCAAGTCATTAATAAAGTATTGCATATCTTGACATATAATTGACTTTTAAACTACATACTAAGTGGAAAAGTTCCTAAACACTGACAAGCTTATTCAGCAAAAATAGTCTTGTAACATGATATAAAAATAAAACGTTTGCGGAAGTCATTTACATGTATGTTAGAAATTTTAGATAGAAATAAATTATTTTTTTTAATTATGTATTACGAATAAAATACATTGAAATATTATTGGCACCTCCTTTTATCATAAAAAGTTATTTTCATTAATCATAGGCTTCCTGCTCTTATTAAACTCATATCTTTCTGAATAGAGTTTGGGCAAGTTGGTATCCCGTTCAAACCGATCGTCTGTCATTTCCTTAAACTCCTCTTAAATGTTTAGCGTATTGATGGCGTCTTGTAGATGTGTAAGAAGTTTCCAGAATTTTCATTTTTTATCCAGGAGGCCAATGTGGGGTCAATAAACGTTTGTCTTCAAAAATCTGGTTTCCAGAACTCTTCTCACATTTTATGCAGTAAACATATCATTTTTTAAAAATATAATGATGAGTGTCCTTTGATGTATTATGAAATACGAAGATAACTAACAGTCCATTTATATAAAACAACTTTGAGCAGAACCAACATGAACCTCTGTGAAGAGAGATGGGATCAAGTGCCATGAAGGACTAATCATCCCCTGTTGACCGGTGCACCCACCGTGTGCTCCTTGTCATGATCGGATAAACGGAAATATCCGTAAACAATTTAGTGTGAAAATAATGTCCTAACAATTTGTATGAAAAAAGTCAGTCAACATTCCATTTTATGCACCCTCACAGTAGCTCAGTCGGTAGAGCGCTCGCTCCGTGAACGGAAGGTCGTGGATTCAAACTACGACACGACTGTCTTTTATTCTCACTATATTCTTCCTCCAATCATCTTAAACATTAAGCAGGAGCCAGTTCATATTTGGACTTTTATTGATGGGTCTTGAAGATGTGTAAGAAGTTTCCAGAATTTTCATCTTTATCCAGGAGGCCAAATAAGTTTGTCTACAAAAATCTGGTTTCCAGAACTCCTCTTACATTTTATGCAGTAAACATATCATCTTTTTGAACATAATTGGGAGTGTTCTGTGATGTATTATGAGATGTGAAGATAACCAACAGTTTTCATGCGCAGAAGTCCATTTATACAATACAATTGTGAGCAGAACCAACATGAACCTTTGAAAACAGAGATGGGATCAAGTGCCATAAAGGACTAAGCATCCCCTGTCGACCGGTCACAAGTAACTTTTTAGTTAAAAAGGTTAGAAAAGGCTTTTATCGGATTATACAACTAGTCAAAATCCAAACTGACAATTGTGTTTTTACAAACCAAATAATGCAACCAGTTTTATTGGTGTATAAGAGAGCGCGCATTTATAACAAAGAATTTCTTCTGCAAATTAAGGGATAAATAGAACATGTCATATAAGCGAGGATATTTGTACATAATGCATTAGTTTCCGCCATTCGTATGATAAACCAAAAACTTAAAACATAGATTGAGATAAAATATGTTGTTGATTTTAACCATTTAAGTGTCGTTGTTATCAATGAGGAGTAATTTTTACAAGACTTTCATCAATTTGACTTTCTCTGATTGTCGCACTTTTAAAGTATAGCACACGTGTCCTTGACTTATTCAATGGACTTAGGTTCCAAAGGAATTATTTTGTCAACGATCAGCTACATTTATATACAGAGTAAGTATAATGTCCTAGAACCTACGTTTTCTTTATTTTCTGTCAAGATGGTCATGAAGTTAATATATTACACGATAAATATGCTGTACTCTAAGAATTGCAAGTTATCATTCAAGCCTTCCTATCTGAGCAGGCACATATTAGGATCGATTCTATATTGTCAGTCTAACTGAACCTCTTTCATACACCATATCTTTTTATCCGTGAAAGGTCGAAAATTGATACTGTTTATCATCATATGTGACCACAATGTGGCTTTCTTACTATCTAAATAATGAATTGTATCTTGGATCACTGTAACTTAATGTTACTTATTTCAAATATTTTATCAAAATCTGAAGTTGGAGATAAACTCAGAAACTATGAAAGAAGCTAAGAAAAAGCCTATATTGCAGCCTATTTGATTTCTCATTATTATTAAAATGTAAATGCCTAAATCTTTTTTCCTCTATTACTACATACCTAAATACCTAAATCTCTGTCATTACAGGTTGGATTATTAAAGAATCTGTTTCTTAGCAAAACATTATCTACTCTTTGAATTCTACCGTGGCATCAAACAAACTTCAGAACTCATATTGTCAATTGAAGAAAAACATATTCACTTTATACTTCTTTTTGTTAGGCAATGATTTATTTTCATTTTTTTTTTTAGTTTTTATCTTTTATGGTTATGCATCTATAAAAATCGATTTGACATTTTTCTGAGAAGTACATAGATAAAAATTGTATTAAATGCTCCTAGCCTAATAGCAGATTATTTCTCACCCATCAGTCAGCAATAAAACAGTTAAATAGCATGTTTTTGCTTTAACCTTTAAGGCCGGTTATGTCAGAAATCTTCATCGGGGATTTAATCTCTTGTCTAAGTTTTGATATGAGAGTACAATGTTGAAACTTAACAATTATCTAAATTGTGATGGCATAGACTCTTGGTAATATACTGTCGACGAGTATAAATGGTTAATTAGGTTTATTTTATTGAATTCAATTAGATGTCTGTATGTCGTATTGGTAATTCCTTCACAACAAATTAGTAGTAAGCCTAACATCATAGCAAGAAGGACACTTATGAAGCATATAGAGTAAATATCAAAACAATATAACCACATGCTAACATAGGAAAAAACTGATATTTTGATCTGCTATTACGGAACTAATTTACTACAATGAAAACTGAGATAATTTCCTTTACTTATGAAAAAAACTATATAAATTCTATGAAAATGATCCATTTTTTTTACTCAGTTGGTAGATCGTTACCCTTTTTAGGTTTAAATCTAAGATACAGCCAATACTGACTTCAGACTTTAAGATTGATTTAATTTGCCTAAAGTTTGGTTTTCAAGTCTTTGTTTTAGTAGGACAAAGTAATAAGTAAAGATGAAACTTTAAGTTTCCATTTCATGATATGCGCTGGTAGTATAGATTATTCACCGGACTGACTTGAGTCCTTGACATGTCAAAATTTGGTACTTAACCTTGAAATGAAAAATTCTCGAGAAGTAAAAGTACACAAAATAGTGAACCAAATTATTTGTTTCTCTTGAAAACTTTACGATTGTGACAGATACTCTTTAAAATTACGATGATAGAAATGATAGTTATAAAGGATACTCTAAATCTAAAACTATTATTTCACATTTTTATTTTGCAATTTTGGTTTTAATACCTCAGATATACTGAAAATGTATCAAGCTTAAAACAATTTATCAATAATTTTCTTATTTAAAATAATTTTTAAGAATGTTTTTTTTTCTTTTAGGTGATGTGTCAAAAAAGTCTTGGTCTAGTGTATGCCTTCAGCATATTCTCTTTAGTGGTGGCCACAGTGTTACCCCAGCCTGCCACAACCATTCTCTGTGAAACAAGATGCGAGTCATCCACTCCAAACTTAGGTCGACTTAAGCAACTATGGCACAGAATGTCAAAACGAATAGGAAAAGATGGTATGTTAGTATGTTAGTTTTTCTGGTTGAATATTTTTAAAAGGAGGTTATAAGTAGTTCAAAATTTTACTAGATACGTAACCGCCCTCATAAGCCATTTACAAAATTGTATGTGTCAGTGACTTCGAAACAATAATTTGAATTTTGATTATATATATATATATATATATCGTTTTATCTTCATCGTGATGAAAATTATGCTCAATAGAAATTTAAACTAAGAATGAAATATTGATAATTATAATTATCTCAATTTTAAATGTTATATGTATTCTAAATCATAAAAGACGAGATGCGTTCATGAGTCGTTAAGAACAAGAAATGTATTTTTAAGGCTACTGTTTCCTTTTAACTTAACCCCAAAAATGCAATAAAGCAGAATTTATGTACTGAAAGAGTTTTTTAAAATAAGAAAAAACAGGTATTATGCAATTGTAAAATGAAATATTTCGATACAATAAAATGAATCACTTAAAAATAATCAGGTGAAATCTTTATAAATTCCAGACATATCAGAAGCAGTGTGGTTTAGCGAAGCTAATCTGGTTTATGATGTTTTTAAAATTGGTCTTGAAAACGCATTCATACATCTTGACATATTTGATGAAGAAATGCTGACTGATATAGTCGCATCCTTCAAAAGTGCAACAGCAATTCCATCTAATTTAGTGGGTGGAACTAATTTTTAGGTTTAAAAAGCATGGAATCATTTGAGCATTTTTTTTTTATCTGAGGCGATGTTAAAACAAACAGAACTTATCTAATTTACCATTGGTTTCTTGTGGTGTTTGTCAGCTCTCTATCTCTCTCAGGGCATGTAGAAAAGACTGGCCAGCCAAATTAGGTATTTTATAAATCTTAAAGACACATAATCGGTTTTTACACACAAAGAAGCTTAGGGATAATAACGTCTAATGTAGCTTTCCATGATTTTACATCATATATAGCCGGAAGCAGGCAATTTCTGATGATGATAATAATAATAAGCAAAAATCATGTCAGGCGTTTGTGGTAATTTATGACATTCTTGTTTGTTTTGAGCCGATATAGTCTTTAAAAGTGTAAAATCTTAACAAATATATTTTTTCAAAAAAGTGTTTAATTCATAGATACCAAATTTTTTAATCATTTTAAACATACACGTATTCCGAAAAAATACTGCTTACTCTAGTATTAATGCATTTCAATTGCAACAACAGAAGCATATTTCCATCTTAGAAGAATTATATTAGTATCATTAACTTTTTGAAGTGTTCTAAAGCAACAAATTATAAATTCATTGTTCTGTATTGTATCAACATCCTTTATTTGTAAAAAAAAAAATACCTAAATTCTGTTAATTTCTTCATTTCGTTTATCATTTACTTACAGATATGTCGTTTGCAGCATTCGTCCAGTCTTTAATTGCCGCCTCGGAGAGATACAGTCGACTAGAACCAGTAGGAAATTATCTGATAACTATGATTGACAGATACCAGGATTGTGTGAGAGCTTGTGAACATCAACACAGCAAACGAGCTGACGAACGAACCTCAGATTCTTTTATCAGAAAACAAATTTGTAAGGAGCCTTTTAAGCATAAAAGATGCAATAGAGCTAAAGTTTTATGACAAAATAAAACGATCACAGGAAATAAAATTATTATTTTTAATCTTGATATTTTAAAAATGAAATTTTCGTAATTCAATGTCATCATATAGGATATATAAAGGCTTTCTTGTTTATTTAAAATGTTAGAATAAAATATAATTTAACTGTTTTTTGTAAATTGTTAATGTTTTGTTAATGACAAGTCTTTTCCCCTTATATTCTAGGTATTTCTCATGGCTTTTGCTTATGACAAGGAATATTTGGATTCCGCGTACAAGGCTTCTGTGAAGTGTGAACTTGGATCAGACCAAAGAAAATGAAAACAGATTTTTTTTTCTATTTTCAAGCAGAAACGTTTAGACTTGTATTCAAATCACAAAAATAGAATAATGACATCCATTTTGCATACTTACCATACAAAAAATAGAATAAGCGAAAACTTTTTCTAATTGAATATTAAGATATATTAATACGCTGCAAAGGGATGAAACATTGTTATGAAATTGTGTTTTGTAAAAAAAAAAAAAAGAATGAATGTTTAAAAATAGCTTATATGAACGAAAAGTAAAAAGTAAATCTGTTTTCTTTGTTATTGTTTCTGTTAAAAATTCTGTTAGACAAAGGTTATTGTTACCATTTTCGAAAAATCTTTATGTGAAATATGGAGATAACGAACAGTATTCAAGTCCATTAAAACAATACAAATCGGGAGCAGAGCAAACACGGACCTCTAAAACATCAGAGTTGAGATCAGGTGCAATGGAGGAGTGAGCATCCCCTGCCGACCGTCAAGGAATAATCAAGTTTTCCTATATGCAGTGTTTTGTATGTTGAATCTGTAATGCAGTTTGAATGATAAGTTTCTGCAGAAGGTTGATCACAAAGGATTAAATGACGTACGAAAGCTAAAATAATTCTCTGTACTTTTAAGTTACGGACACCTGGACTGTCTTTCCACAAACTGTGAACTCTCTGAACTAGTTCTGATTCAAACTTCAAACAAAACATTCAAACATTCAATAAAAAAAAAAACACTATTTTTGCGACGAGTAAGTTGATTTGGACCCGAGAAATAAAGAAAATGTTAAGCAAAACTTTCATGGTCAATTTAAAGTGCAGATAACGTATACAATAGAAAACTTATTTATACATAGGTAATGGATAGGATTTTTTTATTCACTAAACTTTTCATCCTTTAAAATCTAAAAGTTACACAACTATCGAAAGTTCACATAGAACTACATGTATTAACACGAAATAAATTCAGAGAATAGCGAGAACGTAATGTACGCTCGAGCTCATTACAAGATTACAAAAAACAAGCGATAAATTTTTTAAATCTAACTATAAGTTTAACAAAAACTTGTATTTTCTTTTTCCATTCTGACACACCAATAGTCTGTCTGGTCCGATTTATTGAAAAAAATTCTTCTAACGGCAAATAATTATTATTTGGTCCAGCATAGTTTTTTAACCTATTTCGAGTATGCTGAATCCGAAAAAATATGCTGGCCTTCATGAAAATGAAAGAGGTCAAAATGGCGATTCAAAATGGCGGACATCAAATGTTTTATAATTATTTCTTTAACATCTGTAACATCTGTCTTCAAAAGAAGACCTTGACACTTTGTCAGAATGGATTAAATGTATCAGATGTATGTTAAAATCGCGCATTAAAAGATTGAGAGGCAATATGAAAATCATCTATCCTTCTGTATTCAATAATCCAGAAGTGAAAAAAGAATTAGATAGATTACATGATCAGTACGTACTGGTCCCTGCTGATAAAGCAGGTAACAACATTTTCTTTGTTTGTAAGGCTCATTATATTAAATGTATTTTAGAGGAACTTGGATTTAATTCTACAAGTGGTAATCCAACTTATACTCATAGTTCCCTTTCTAAGGAAGAAATTCTTCAAAATCATATGTCAGTTTTGAATATTTTTAATATTCCAAACAACCAAAATGAATTCGAATTACCATATTTATATTGGATTCCGAAACTTCATAAAAATCCTTACAAACAAAGATACATAGCGGGTTCCAGTAAATGTTCAACCAAGCCTCTATCTTTACTCCTCACTAAGATATTAACAGTGGTGAAGGAGAAACTTCAAGAGTACTGTGCAACAATATATTCGAGAAGTGGTGTAAATCAGATGTGGATACTTAAAAATTCCAAGGAACTTTTGGAAAATTTGAAATCACAAGATTTTACCAAAATCAACAGCTTAAAAACTTACGACTTTTCAACTTTATACACAACCATTCCCCACGATAAATTAAAGTCCAGGCTTTTTTATATCATTGACAGCTGCTTTTTCAATAAAAATGGAACTCGTAAATATACTTACCTTGTCATTGGTCATTTGCAAAATTATTTTGTTAAAAAACATTCTGATTGTACACACAAGTACTCTGAAGTTGACATTAAAAAGATGCTTGAGTTTCTGATTGACAATATCTATGTGGTTTTTGGAGACCAGGTCTTCCAACAATCTATTGGAATTCCTATGGGTACCAATTGCGCCCCGTTATTAGCAAACCTTTTTTTGTATTCATATGAAGCAGAATTTGTCCCAAATCTTGTACGTGGAAAGAAGAAAACACTTGCTGTGGCGTTCAACTCGACATTTAGATATATCGACGACGTATTGTCAATTAACAATGGCTATTTTCATTCTTATGTCGATACGATATATCCAGGTGAACTTGAGATAAAAGATACCACAGAGTCTGACACATCTGTTTCATATTTGGATATTTTACTTGAAAAAGACGTTAATGGTAATCTAACAACCAAGCTTTATGATAAACGTGATGACTTTAACTTTTCAATCCTCAACTTCCCTTACTTATGCAGCAACATACCTTCATCACCTGCATATGGGGTATATATCTCTCAGTTGATCACTGATTTATCACTGAGTCAAATGCTGACTGACGTTTTTCATACTAATTGTTAGGCCATTATTTACACACTGAATTGTCAGAGGATTTTTCCGTAATTTCCCGATCATGACAAGGAGCACACGGCGGGTGTGACCGGTCGGCAGGGGATGCTCACTCCCCCATGGCACCTGATCCCACCTCTGATGTTTGGAGGTCCGTGTTTGCTCTGCTCCTATTTTGTATTGTATAATGGACTTTTGAGCTTGAATACTGTTCGTTATCTCCATATATTTCATTCTTCAGATAGGAGAAATAATCTATGAATATTTTACTGAACGTAATGTAACTATAAAAACGATAATAGAACACTAAAATAATCACTTTAATTAAAAAAAAAAGTCGTTTCTACGTTTAATTCGAATTTTCTCTGATTTTTTATATCTTTTGTTTCTACATTCTTATTTGTTCAGGAATTTACATTTGCAAACATCCATACACTGCATATTCTATGTTTTCCTCTACATCTCACTATTCTACAACTGATTGTGCAGTGCAAGTTATAACATTTCGGAAAAATCTCTGCAATTGCCAGTCATAAGTTTGCAGCAAACAACCAAGAATATCCATCCCATCTCAATGGACTTGGTAATGTCGGTCTACCAGTATTTGCCTATCTTTTTATCACTACCTGGTATTGTGCTTGCTTTGTATGCATATGAAAGGAATGGGAATTCTAAATTCCTAAATAATTTTCGTAGCATGTTAGTGGACACTGTGTACTTGTTACGAAACTTAAAGACGATTTTTTAATCAGTTAAATTTCTTTCTCCTCAACCCTCTGAAAACTTATAGTTGTGTCATTGCATTACATCATGTCAGTGAGGTCAAGTGTAAATAAATAAATGTTTCCGAAGCTCTGGAAAAGACAAATTTATTGCAAAAAAACATAAACAGGAATAATGTTCCAACCGCAATCTACAGGTGTCTTTTTCTAGAGATAATGAGCAATGAGACATCAATATACGATATGCCAGTGTGAGAATAGCTAGAGGATCAAGAGGATACTCAAGTACAGTGTACTGCTTGAAGAACTAGAGACTACTTCTTCAATTGTCCCCTTTAGCGCAGAATACTTTAACCTATATCATTCTAGCATTTCATTCAATCTTCAACCGTCCACTCTCCCCTTTCCCCTCCCTCCCTCTCACAAACCTAGCGAGTGGCAGCAATGTTTTTCATAATGGGTGGTTGGAGGAGACAGGGTAACATGTTTTCCTCAAAGGCATAGCAAAGTTAGTAGGAAGAGGAATTTATCTATTTTCTACAACCCATCTAAATGGTTGGTGCCCCTTTGTTCTGAGTGTTGATGATTAAATTGATTATTCCCTTTTAAAGAATAAACAAAAAATTAATGCTAGAAAAGTTTTTTTTTCTGGAAATAATAAACAAACTCGACTAAAGATTTTCGAATGTTTGGCTGTGTTCCAAAGCTCTAACCAATCCTTGTCCACCTAAAATCAAAGCTGCTGAATCGTTGTCATTAACAACTCGCAATCCCAACATCCAATATAACTGCTTTCTTGCCTGATTTCATTGAACCCTTTGTACTAGCTTTTGAAATTAGCATTTGAACGAGGTTAGTATGTTCCCCCAACATCCTCTATTCCAGCTTTAAATGTAATATGATTCAGCCAGTCTTAGGAATTTTGGTCTTTGCAACAGGTCAAGGAACAACACTTTTATTTTCAAAAGCTTGTTCAAAAAGGAAAAACTCTCTGATATGACAAGTTGGTTTCTGTTTTGTGACCATATAGATTAGTTTATCTTTTTCGAGTAGAGAAGTCATTTTTTACTCCATTACCAAGAAAATTCTTAAACTTTTTCATCTTGAATCACATGTGCATTTTTGACGAGAAAACGTATAATTGTGCGATCAAAGAGCACCTGCACATTCTTCGTGATTCCTACTATATCACGTATCACCTTTCTTTCCAATAGGCTTCAGCCATTCTTGACTTTCTTGACTTCGATCTGGAATCAATTATTCCAACACTCCTCTTGACAAAAATTTTCTCTTAGGAACTCTCTAAGTACTTTACAAGGCAAATTGATACACATTACTCTATTAAGATAGTGTATGGTCGTATCAAAAGAATTGAGAGGGGGAGGGTTGAACACAAATATTTTCCTGTTTCTGATTTTGTAAATTTCAAACAATAGACACCGAATTCTATCCGAGTAGTAGTAGAAAAAGTATGGATTATCGATTTTGAAATTTGAACATTTGTATATGATTCCTAAACAAGGGAGTCGTTTGAATTCAAATCTAACAATACAAGTTTATCTGTTCACGGCATTAAATATTTGTGAATACGATTGAAACTCATTTTTGTTGGCTATGAATAACAAAATGCAAATGCAGGATGAAGAATCAGTGCTGGGCAGTCATGAATATTTATGATTTACGCATATACTGGTTTTGATAATCCTCAATTATGTTCATAGATATTACAGTCAAATGTTATTATATGATTTAATACTTCCTAGCTCTCTGATTGGTTGAGACCCATCACTGTAAAATCATACCGTTATGTTGCACTAGGCCTTCCAGGTGAACATTAACATTTGTTTTTGCTACACTGACTAAAAATAGATCAAGAAATTTCAA